AATATTTCTAGACTTCCTAACTGTCTGATGGAGGAAAACCAAAGCAGAATTTTTTAGCCTGTTACAAAACACRTTATTTGAAGGGTGTGCAATATAGGAAAGGGAGAAAACATGCACATAGCACTCACTATTGCTCATTTTTACTGCTTTATTAAAGAGTAACTTGAAAGCAAATAAAAATCAATTCCCTACCACAGACTGTGCTTTAAACCACATAATTCTCATCTGGATGTTGTAAACTATCACTATTACAAACAAAACCTGTGGACAGGGAGTTGAAATGCAGGAGGCAAGGAAGACCTGTATGTGTGAGCTGCTGTTTGGGCAGAGGGGTGCTGGTGGCTTTAGCAGATGCAGTTGCTCTTAGAGAGCAACAAGAGATGARCTCCTTCTCCAGTGCAAGGTTGGTGGCTTCGCTCAAATCTGCCACGGCGCTGGTGCTGACGTGCCAGACTTTGCACTGGAACAACTGAGGATTGTTCACAAGTTCAGGTTCACCTGCTGTGCTCTAACCATGTCTGATGCAAAGCTGTAGATCATTTGTGAAGGGAAACATATGGCTCCTTTCTAAACATGAGGATGGAGTCTGTGAGTTATATTTTAAACATCCCAGGACCTCACAAACAGTATTGAAAGAGCTTTTTTTTTAAATCTGCAGTTGTTTGGTGTTTTATCAATAGTTTTCTTTTTTTCCAGGGTGATCTGTACCAACTGCGTGCTCTTAGATTTATAATACGCTGCATTCATGTTTTTAGTTTATCAGTGTGTTGACTTTTAACGTAACATCATAKGAGATAAATGTTTAATAATTCTGTCTTTTCACAACAGCAGTCAAGAGGGGATAGGAATTCAAAAACACTTAGGTGCGTGTAGAACAGAGATTAATATCATGACTCACACAAAGGTTGGGAGAAAAAAGTGTATTTATTAACTATCACTGCTTTGTACTAACTTGGCAGTCRTGTTTCTAACTTTTTTTGGCTGTAAGTTCGAAGTTTTGGCTGGGAAAAGAGATTWCAGAACTTGTATTTTAAATTATATGAATCCTAATTAAGGATAAAAAWTCTTGTGGTTTCTCAAATACTGTTTTCCAACAAAAGTCACTTTAATGTCTGGCCTAATGTAGTTTTTGCCTTCAGGAAAGAATTAWCCAACATGAATTTGCTAACAGCATAATACATCTATCCATACTTTTWAACAAGAATCCTCATAAGATATTAGAGGGTTATTTGGGGTTTTATCTCCAGATGATGAAAAATTCTGAAGTCTGGACTTGTATGTTGATGCAAAACATGATTTTCATGTTTTGGAAGATCCTGATGTGTAGATTGGCATCCCAAGGGTTCCACTTCCTCATCTCCCTTGTCTTTATGATCCGCTCAGAAGTGTAAATTGCTGGTGTCTGGTTGAGCTTGGTCTCAGCTGCTGATGTGAAACACAAGATTTGTTCACCTCTGGATTCCTGTTTAAGAAGAACCAGCTATGAGGTTTTACCAACAAGCTCCAGCACACTGCATGCTCAGTTAACAGTGAGCAGCAAGAGCAGCAGAAATGTAATTCTACACAGAGTTTGTGTATCTACCCAAACATCAGGCTGTTGATCATTAAGGAAAAGAATAATTGTGAGGGATGTTTRTCAACCTAGAAATTGCTCTGGTTGTAGCCAAGAACAAAGAGTACAACCAGAAAAAGAAATAGTTGACTGGAGCTGTCAGGATTATTCACTGGCAAATTCAGAGTTCTGCACTGAATTCTCAGGCTTATGTGTGGAAACCAGCACTGACTTGCCCATTTRTGCAGGCAGTTGTTGCTTAGGACAGCAGTCCTTGATGTAGATGTGTTTCCAGTCTGACTGCATCAGCTGGCTTCCTGTTCATGGGCTCGGATGAAAGACTGATTCCCTAGGGAATATCTGATGGAACAGAGTTSCATTTCCTTGTTCCCTCTCCTGTCCTTTCACATTCATTTCCTCTTGTATGCACATATTGCTACTTATTCTTTCTGCTCTGGATAATATTTTTATATAAATTGTTTCATGAGACAGTTTATATTAAAGCTTTATAAATGGCCTTCATTGAGCTATTACCTGTTTAGTTGCTGTGAATGAAGCAAGTGATAGGTATTTGGGATACAGATCCATGGTAAAGCTGAATGGGAAGATGGGGGTGGGGAGCTGGTGATTGTGTAAAACCTCTCCTGTATCTGGTGGAGAAAAAGCAGGAACATTTTTGAGGAAGATGAATCCTAGGAGTGTTTACTGTTGCTGGCAAGGAGGGGGAGAGATGTCAGATACTCTTGGTAATRCTACAAGAGACGTGAGGATTTCAACATGGTTCGAGGTGATAAATGYGGGCATTAGTGCTCTGTGTTCCCTAAGTGTACAGATCGTCCTGGAGAGTCCGTGCTGTGTTTGTGTGTAACCCATCCCAGTGGGAGAGCAGGARTGGGACTGCTCTGGAAAAGCCCTAATGCAGCTGGCCACAGGGGAGASCAGAAGCCTGAGAAAGTCTGTAGCTTGTGCTGAGAAAAATGTCAGTCTCTTCCTTTTTACTTCTTGGAATGGGCAGGAAGGGCTGTGAGGGATGGTTTTGTCCTTGGAAAGGATCTATGTGTGGTACTGATGGAGCTGTTGGAGTGTGAGGCTGCTGCRAGGTGTGATTGTTGGAGGAGGGTTTTTATTCTTGCGAACAGATCTCTCAAATATGTGAAACATTGTGAGAAATGAACAGTACCAAAGACTGCCCGTCTACAAAAACACACTGGGATGCAGAAAATGTGCTKACACATGGCAAAAGCAAACATCTAGACTGCAGTTGTGTATCTACCCAAACWTCAGGCTGTTGTCCATGCTTGGGCTTTTTTTCTCCATCCTTTCTTTCTTTTACAGGCCATGAGATCCCAATTAAAATTAAATATGGCATCAGTGTTAGGTTTGGCACTGTATGCTGTAAAATATGGAATTATAGCTTGTGCTTATGTATTACCCTGTGCTTAATAGGAGTTAAGATGAAGAGAGGATTTGCTTGACTAACCTTCTGTAGAGGAAAGCCATCATRTGATAGCATAATTAACTTGAGATAGAAGACATTTTTTAATTCTAAATGACAAAATTCATRGCTTATTCTTGTTGGCAAGCTATACCCAGGCATTCAGCATTTCCAGYCCTAAATGGAGTATGATGCTGAAAGATGAACTTTCCCTGTGTATCTCTGATGTTGTACCAGAGATTTCAGAGGTCTTTTTTGTTTTAGAAAGATCTCGAATTTGACATTAAGCTGTTATTTTGCATTCAGTCTTACGAGTTAGTTTTAAAAAAAAAAAAGACCAAAAGGAAAAGCTGACAAACCATTTAGACCATAAAGCTCTTCTAATGGAATTATATTGATTACTGAAAATTACTRTAATAGTAACTATGCCTCTTTATTACTGTTTGATCTCAAGAACTGACTTTGGTGTGATTCAAATGGAAGATCTGATTCCAGAACTGCAGTAAATCAAAATGTCCTATTATTATGTAGCTTTGCTGAGTGAATTGAGAATATACTTTTAAATTGCTGCTATCTGTATGCATGCGCTGTATGTTCTTATTCAGAGCAGAAATCAGAGCCTTAGATGTCGGTGGTCTGGTCTGCAAGAATCCCACAGGGATAAAAAGACAGGCAGAATATTTTGAAAGTGCTTATTGATTGGAAATTACAAAGTCATTGTACAAACTACTTTGCTTCAGTTCTATTGTCATTGGCAGTGCAGCTCAGTTTGTCAAATCACTCCTGCTGCAGACACTGACAAAGAAGTGGTGTCTTCCTGGCAGGAGTCTTCTTTCCCTCATCAAGTTCATTTTGCAATGCTTGGCTCACATTTCAAACTTCATCTTTAAAAGGAACTATTTGCAGAAAATTGGAAAATAGATAGATCAGGTCTTGGGTTTGGTATATAATAATATAATGCAACATTCTAACTTTTACCCACTGGTTTTGTCGCTACTCTATTCTAATACTGCAGCCTTCTTTTTGTATTTTCTCCTGGGCTCTCTAATTAGCATATTCTGGATGAAATTGTGCACTGTTACTGCCACAGCATAAAGTGTTCCAAGGTTGATGGCTGGCTGACTTTAATGATCTTGATTCTTRCCCGTAGGAAAAGCCAGAAATGATGCAGGTATAATTTAGATAACTGTGGGATGAACCACCTAAATTGAAAACCTTATCCTCCACTGCCTTTGGCAAGAATCTCTCCACCGTGGCAATAATTTTTCTTGCCTTAAAGGCCTGCATTAGAGGGTTCTTCTAAGAAGAAGGTCTCTTGGAGCTGAAGGGGTAATGTCCTTTAAAACTGCTGCTTTTTCCTTGGCTCATGAGCTAGAAATTTTGCTCTGCATTACGTTCTGTAATGTGTCKCAATAATGTAGAATGAAAAAATAATACTAAAATGGGCAAAAAAAGAAGGAAAAAAGATCTTGGGAGACCATAGGAGATACTTCCTTTGAGATGTGATGTAGTGCTACTCAGTTGTTAAATTAGATCATATTGCAACATTTATTAATTGGGTCATATATCTGGYGCCAAGTTTCAGATCATGGGTATTTGATAAAGTGATAGCAGAGCTTGAAAAACTAGTTGTATGTTTAAGAGCAGCACACATCCTATAAATGTTTGACAAATGAAAACAAATTGTTGCCATTTATTAGTTTTAAGCACACTTTGATTAGGGATATTTTCTCCTTGTTATTTTCTGTATGCATTAGCTTAATTTTTAAGTCTTCATAGATCGGATTTTATAATTCAGCATTTCTACTTCAAGTCAGAGTTGAAATCTATGCAGCCATTTTCTTGTACGGTCAAAAAAGAGCACACTGAGTTTTAATGTTATAACAAATATTACCCAGTAGGACCCTTGAGTCAGTCTGGACTGTGGATTCATGAAAATAAAAGGCAGGATTCATTAGGCTATCTGTCAGAACTGTGAAATGAAGCTCAGTTATGGTCTGTGTTTCTCTTTAGATCTCATAAATGGAGCCCAGGAACAGTGTGAATTGCCTCCTATGGATGGTTTTCCTCACTGTGAAGGGAAAATAAAGGTAAGTGAACTGGTTTTAATCTTAGGTGTGTTCCATTAAAAATGGAACATATGTTGCAAGAGGCCACTACTCAGTGGTGTAAAACAGGAACAACTGAGTCAAGAAATGGGCTATTTAGGACTGTGTGTCACTACAGCATTGCTCACCTCAAGCCTTTAATACTGCTGCTGCAGAGAAATAACRTGGCATCTTCTTAAAGCAGGAAAGATTTGCCATATTAAAATGTGATGTCATTTACTGAAATGCCTTAATACTTGAATGCTGTCTTGTTAGTCAGAATTGTCTGCTTTTGAAAAAGCCCCTTTTTCTTCCCCATGATGAGTAATTTGGTGTTTCCCTACCCCAATACTGTGATTCCAGTGTGGTACCTCACTCCAGCCCTTTCTCTATTTCAGCATGGCATTTGTTTGCAATTCTTTCCTCTTTGCCCACAGCTCTGCRTGGTTCCTCTCTTCCCCATTTCTCTTGGAAGCGTCCTGCCCCTTCAGCTCATGAGTAGGCAGTGCCTAAGTGTGCAACCAGAGCACTCTGGGGTTCACAGTGGATTCTACATAAATCCTCTGTTTTATTAATAATGCAGTTCAAAAGGCTAAATATCGCAAGCTTTCAGACTTAAGTTGGAAAGGCAAAAAGAAAAGGCAACAAAAAATCTCACCCATCCCCAAGAAAAACAGAGGAAATAAACCCCACCAAACTTGGAGAGATGGAGGTTTTTAAGGTTTTTTTTTCCCCCAAGGTGTGTTTCAAATGTAAGGGATGCTGCTTTATTATTGTGAATGCCCCAYCCCTGAAATTTAAGGCCAGGTTGGATGAGGCTCTGAGCAGCCTGGTGTGATGGAAGGTGTCCCTGCCCATGGTWGGAGTGTTGGAATGAGATGATCCTTAAGGTCCCTTCCAACCTGAACATTTTGTGATTCTATATTTAGTGGGGTACAATAGTAAAATTTCTGGTTGCTTAAATACCCAAGTATTTTTGAAATTARAAGTCTCTACATTTTGAATCTCTGGTCTGCATTTTGATCTGTTTTGGCAAACTTGCTGCATAGTGACTATGTAATAAATCATTTGAATATTAAAATATGAACTGAAATTAATTACTTGCTTCTGCAGACATGGCAGATTCTTGGCAGGTTTCAGTCTCGGTAACTGAAATGATCTGTTAAATTCCAGAGGGAGCAAATCACGGTGGGGAACACACAATGCRTTCAACTCCAGCAACAGCCAAATGTCTGGATCTCAGTTTTATTCTCCTTTTGATATTTGTTTCTGCTTGCTTGGCTGCCAGTTTACATAAGCTGTGCTCACAGCTGCTATGTTGTTGCTTCCCCAGCATTACTGAACACAGGGATGCACTATGCTGATAATTATTAACAAATTTCCTGGGCTTTTATTTATATTACTGCTGTATTTATAGTCACTTTGCAACTTCCTCCATTATACTTGGGTTGGGTGTGGAACAGAGTTATTTTGTTGTACTTTAACCTAACAGACTGTGTCTTTTGTTTTGTTGCAGTGGATGAAAGATATGTGGCGATCGGATCCCTGTTATGCGAGTTACGGTGTAGATGGGTCCACATGCTCCTTTTTTATTTACCTCAGTGAGGTCAGTAATCTTTTAATCTGCCAAAGGGGAATTTCCTTAACAATTTTGGTAACTGYACTTCTTTTGAAAGGAATCGTCATTTTCTTCAGAAAAATTTTGTGAAGAGGAAAAAGTTATTAAAACGGAATTATTAAATGTGTTGCTATTATTCATAAACTCTGCAGGGTTTTCTAGCCTGGAGAATTCTAATGTTTGTAACTGCAGTGATGTAAGCAGCAGCTCTCCAGGGAGTCCACGCTGGGTATGCTGTTAAACCCAAGTTTGAAGCTCAGTCAGAGATCTTTGCCTTTAAACACTTTTTCTATTGCTTTTAATGCAGCTGCTGAGATATTAATAGGGARGCATTTGGAATGGAAAATTTGGAAAGTGATACAAGATGGTACATTGTCCTAAACAGCATGGCCACTTCTTGCTTAGAGACTGTGAATTGTGGAATCTGTTCACAGAAAACAAAAAAGAACGTCACATTTTTGAGTGAAGTTGCAGATACATTGGCTAAAGCCTTTGATACCTGTCAGAACCRAAGCTGTTTTGTGCACAGCTGAGTAGGGTGTTTGTCCTGGTTGTTTTTTCCTAATTCCTGGGTTATGTTTGTTTTCCAAGGAATAGTTTTGTCAGTCAATTATTATGAAYTCTATCACTGGTTTGGAGTGCATGTGCCAGAAACAGTCAGGTGTATTTGATCACTTAGCCCCTTCTTTCTTATAAGTAAAATTTTGATATCTTGTSTCTCTGAGCTTAGAAGTAGTATTGAGATCAGGCAATGTGGTTGCAGGATTTCAAGTAATATTGATTTCTGCAGGATTGGGAGGATGGGRCTGGGTTTTTAAATTATATATCTGAGCTTAAAACAGTAAGTCTGTTATAATAAATAACTCTGTTGCAATGAAAGCAGATTCTGTTGATTTACTCAGTTGGCTGTCACTGAACTTTTGGGAGTGTTGCTTGAAGTAGCAATAGTTAAATGCAAGTCCAAAACATTTATCTGAAGACATAACAAAGGCTGGGTTGAATCACAGTTTTGACTCATTCCATTTCTAGCACCAAGTGTTGATTTATTTATGGGCTGTGAAGCTGGGGAAGGAAAAGATGCAGGATGACTATATTATTTATCTTKTTATTTATCATAGCAGCTAGAGATGGTTTTGTAATCATCTCAAGTTGATCTAAGGTTTCTACTAGAAGTCTTTGTTTTAGCATCAGCAGAGTTATTTTTGGTCATTAGTATTCTGTCAGCCAGCAGGTGCCTCGTCGTTTTAATGCAGATATATCTTTAAAATTATGATATATCTCAACTSAATGTAAGAATCTAATATTCTTCAGTGACATTTCTTACTTTGCATTTCTGTTAAATCACAATTTTTACGTGAAAATTTGCTCTGATCATCAGTATTGAAAACTCAGTTGATGCTGTTAGCTCTTTCATAATTGGTCTTTCATAGCCAAGTGTGAGCAGACTTTCAGAGACCAAATGGTTGTTTTTTCAAGGGTCTTGGGATTTGAAATTTTTCTTTAAGCATCAATATCGAATTTGGTCAACTTTTCATTTAGTGAAGGAATAAAATTGCAATTAGCCTGCGCGCATATTTGGGAACTGCAGACAAAGGTCTTGTCCCTTTTTTTTTCTTTTTGTAGAGTGTTTTCTTATGACAGAATGTAAAACTAATATTGGGTGAGCGTGTTATTAACCTTGAGTTTAAATTTGGCATTCTTAATCTTATGATTAATTTCATGATTAATGTCCAGCAGCAGAGGTTGAAAGCTTAAATGTTTGCGAATGCAAGCATGAAATGAAATTCTAATAACACTACAATGATGTGGATTTATGAGGTGTGTTGGCTGCTAGGGATAACTTGGAAATGCTGTTCCGAGAGTAATTTGTCAAAGTGGACAGTGATGAAGAGTTGACAGTTTATAGCATGGTTGCACAGCTGAATGATAAATGTGTCTACAGAGCTCTCAAGTCAGAACTGCTGATTTGAAATATTAAAATGCATTAGGGTAATGGAAAGGATATTACTGTTAAGATTTTTCTTTTTTACTTCACGGTTAGGCTGTAGGAGTGAGATGGTTGTGTATGYGCGTGTTTGAAAATAGATGGATCAAATTATGTGCACCCTCAGTTTGGAAAAACAATGTGCATCAAATTATGCATGTATGTACTTCTTCTCTTAAAATCATCTCTACAATSTAGTGTGACAAGTGCCTGTGCTCTTTCATACTCTTGTGGGATCTATTTTTTTTTCTGAAGCAGTTCAGTTAGGATACTATGCTCATCTAGTACTCTTTGCAATRTAATTTTAAACTTGTAAACAAAGGAGCCCAAAATATTTCTTTTTGGTGTGTAATATGGGCCAGAACCAGGGACACTCCCACTATCCCAGGCTGCCCCAAGCCCCATCCAGCCTGATTTGGACACTTCCAGGGATCCAGGGGCAGCCACAGCTTCTCTGGGCACCCTGTGCCAGGGYCTTCCCACCCTCTGGTCYGCAGAACACAAATGGTGCTGGAGTCCCTGAAAAGTAGAGGAGATAGAAATGGCCTGAATAGCAAATCCAGACATACATTCTCTTGAATACAGAGCCACATGGGGATTAGAGAGACCAAACATTAAAAACCAAGTTAAACTTGCTTCCTTTTAACCGTGATGTCCAAAGAGAAAAGTTACTTTCTTTTAAACTTAGCATTTAGTTATGAAAAAGGCAGTTGTTTAACACTGTAATGGYATTGGCAGGGTTATCATTTTCATGGATGGCATTGCCTCTGGGGAGAAATGTGAAAAAAATTAATTTCTAGGCAGTGCAAAAATATATTTCACTGCAAAATGTCAGTTTGCAGCTGAAGAGTGAAGCTTTTAAAAATATCTTCTAGAAAATTACTTTTTCACACTGTTTCCRAGCTTTTGAAAAAAAAGGTGGAGAAAGTGGAGGGGGTTTATAGATTTTTTTATGTGCTTTCTCTGAGAGGACTGTTTTGCTCACCAGGAGTGGACTGGTGCCATTCCTGGTGATCAGCTGGTAGCTGGGGTGCAAGTTGTCACCTCCCACTACACCTGCTGGAGCTGGGCAGGTCACCCTAAAATCCCAGGTGGTCACCCTGAAATCCCAGGGTTTGGCTCTCCAGCTCACCTTTCACATGCACATGTAATTTTTTGTACCCACCTTAGAATCCAACACCTCCAAAGATTTAAAACTATTTTGGATTCCAGTCCTCGTGTAGCTTTTGCATGTGTCCTAATACAAGGCTGGAGAGAATTCTTGTTTGCAGTCCTTCAGACTGGACAAGGCATAGTTTGGTTGTGGGAGTATTTTTCTTCACACTCTTACTTCTCCTTTGAGGGCTAGAGCAGAAAAACACAAACCAGAGGTGATTTTGAACATGGATTCAAGCAAGCTGTAGTCTGAGAAACATTTCAGTGAAAATTCCTGGGAATCAGAATTATAGTGGTTTCTTAAATCCTTGTGGGTTTTCTAGTTTACTGCAGTTTGCACACATCTGTGGGGAAGTCCCCTTTCCACAGCTTCTGCTGCTAATCCTGGACACTGAGTTAATGATTTGCATTTGTTCAGTGTAATGCAACATCAGACCAGCTTCTTTCAATTCTATGCAAATACTCAGAAATTTGACAAAACCAGTGTTGTTGTCTAAAATGTAAATCAGCAAAAGTTCAGACTATTTTAGTCATCTTGCACTTCCCTAAGAAATTGAAATGCTAGTGATAAATTCTGGGACAAAGTGCTGACTTTTATTGGTGGATTGGCCTGAATTTGGGTGATATAGGCTCAGTTATTTTTTCTGTCTCCTTAAACTAGAATTAGTCTTTTTATGACTTGTTGGAAAAGGTATAAATGCCGGTGTACAAGATGAATCAAATACAGTGCACATTACTGAAGTTAGACGAGAGGCTGTTTGATGTGTGAAATGTTGTGTTGCAGTGTCACTGGGGCTGTGGGTACCTAACACCCAACATTTGAGACTGAAACAGCCAAATCCAAAGCTGCCTGTACCCCACTCCATTGCACCAAACAGGCAGGCAGTCATTGCACACCATAGATCCTGTAACCCTTCAGAGTGATTGGCTCTGAGGAAAACAAAATACAGGAGCTGAGAAAGCCACCTTCCCCATGGGAGCAGTTCTTTCACATCAWTTCTCAACGGGATTTGTAGCATCTCAAGGTCTCTCCCTGCCTTCATACTGCCTAATAAATTGAAATAGATTTTTTGGTATATTCTTCACTCTGGTACTGACTTAAGAAACTTCACAGCAGCATTTCACCGTACACTGAGCAGTGCTGTGTTCACCTGGTGTGCAAAGAAAGTTGTCTTAGCTTCCCTGTGGATGGGCTGCATCTGCCCTCTGGCAGAGTCCAAAATGAAGATTATCCCAAGTGCTCAGAGCGTACCCTTCAGCTTCTGCTTTGTTYCACTCCCACTGAGACTCTTTGAAAGAATAAAGATCTTTCTGAAATTCTGGATGTGGAGAGCTGCTGGCAGAGTATGCTTTGACTCAATTTGGAAGATGCACAGACTACTCCAGTGCTACAGATGTTTGCCAAGTTCTTAAAACTCTGCTTTGAAGTACTTGCTCTGTAAAAGTCGAGTGCTGCAAAGCTTCCATAAAGCAAGTACTCTTCAAGTTCATTAGGTTTGTTCGGGGTTTTTTTCCCCATCCTAAACCTAGCCATTTACACCTCGGAGCAGTTCAGAACACCAGCTTTTCTCTAGTGTCTGGAATCATGTAGCACTTAAGTTTTGAATTTCTAAACTGCTGTGCAACTTAACCTTAAGGAGCTGGCTGTTTATACTCCAGGCAGTGCTGTGACTAATGTGATTCCAGACCAAGTAGGGAACACTCGACTTCTCAGGTGGACACGGTTTCCTGAGCAAGATCAAAGACTACCTAATGCATGTGATTGGCATTGAATTCAGCACCAGGAATAGGAGGCACAGCTGGTCTTATTCAAAAATGTGACAGTGCAAAGATAAATATAGTGTRTTCTGAATAATAGCTTAGCATTTGTATCACTCATCCAAAAAATGGTCTGTCTTCAAATCTAGAGTTGGTGCTTCCCAACAGTCATCTTTAACTGCTAATCTGTCTGCTATCACATCYTTCCTATTAAATCATTTACATGGCAGTGCAACAGCAAGTTGCTATGGAGAGAATAAGCTGGAGAAAGAASTGATGGTAACCCAGTGAGAGGAAGGTAGTATTGGAAAGGGGGAAGAGGAGTCCTGACTCCTTCTTTGGAGGCAACTTCAGTGTTTGTTCTTAAATGATTGAATGAACAAGTTGAAGCKCAGGATCCAATTGAACATCACTACCCACCCTCACCTTGCTGAAAATTAGGGCTTRTTGTATGTAGATATTCTGCACCTAAACAAATACAAAGCTGAGGTATTTATAYATTTCTGATGGAGTTTCCATCTAGACCCACTTTAGTGATATAATGCTGTCTGCTGTCATTGCAAAAGATCGGTAAGGAAAACTGAGAGCCAGACTAACTGCAGACACTGATACTGCCTTGAATCTACTCTTTAAGTGTTTATTTATGATGAGAATTACTGTAATTTAATTTAGACTAGAGGGACTATTTCTAAAAGGACAAAAGAACTGAATTTGTTTTTCAGTCAGTGAGGCGTGCAGCTAACTGTCCTTGGCAGCCCTGAAAAATCTGCAGTTCCTTTAGGATGCCTTGTGGTGCAATGTGCAATACATGAAGTCAGAAAGGGGCAAGTACACTAGTCCTTGAAATGTCATCTCTTAATTTAGATCAGTTCTAATGCTAGGAATAATGCAAAATTTGTGTTATTAAAACAAACAAAAAAAATARACTGAGTTTCTGACTGCATGATTTGTAATGTGGAGCTTGCAACTCTTTTCTGCCACGACTTTATAGTTGTAAAAGTTAGGATTGATAATTGCTCCTGTTTCTGGTGTGGTTCTAGAACTGAGGACCACTGGAGAATCAGATGTTTTCAAAGATAAGTCACTGCTTTCAAATGTATTAAACGCATTGAGTAGGTTAAGTCATAGCATTCAAAATRCCTTTGTATAATTTGTTTGAGGAGCCCAAGTTTGATACATTTCTTCTCTTTAATGAGGTTAGGGTGGCTATTCATTTATTTTCATGTGATTGGCCTTCCAGGCAATCACAGGGTATGATCTTAAGCCTTTAATCTGTAATGCTCCAGGCTTGCTGCAGCATGATTAAGCTAAAATTGTGTTTTGACAGGTCTGTGATTGGAGGAACCATAAGAGCAACTCTGACTTCCAGTTCTCTGGGGGCTGTGAACTTAATCAGTAGTGATGGGCTATCTCAGCCAGCTGATAAATTTTTACATTTCCCCCTTTCCACAGTACAGTCATGTTTCTGTTTTCWTGGGTTTGCCTCCAACACTGAGATTCTCCTTCCCCACAGCAAATGGTCTTATTTCTTAGGGCATATRAATAATGAGGATTCTGAGGGAAGGCAAGATCCCTGGGGAGAGCAAAGGAGYTCTCAGTGACTTGCATCCATTTGCTGCTTCTTCACTGACTACTCCCTGTTATCCTTTTTCWTTTTCTAGCAGACAATAGTAGAAGTATTGCATTTACATTGATCACATTTCTCTRAGAATCATAGCTGTTAAAATTTGTGAATCTTGTTGTTTATGTTATAATTACCTTATTTATAGCCTTCAAACATGGTGGCTTTTGATTCTATGGTGTTTCATATTTTTTGGTCTASATTGCTACAAGGTAGAACTTGGATCCTTCTCTTTTTATAAAGATATTCTAGAGAGATAGAAATGTTCCAAAATACATATTTTTGTAAGGTCTGGAAGAATAARAAACTTCTTGAAAACATTTAAGAACTGCTCAGAGAAACTGTGTTTTGAGCATTTAACAGTTGACCTTTGTCTTGATCTTCTGTTTTCATTATCGTGAATTAATATCTAAATGTGACTTTTGGTTGCAAATTTGCTGGGTTAAAAGAGCATTGAATTGCAAAATGTCATCTTAAGGTTTTCCTGCAAAAAGCAGTTTTACCTTRAAGCGATCACGTTATTATGAGCTGATGCCTTATTTGAGCCATGGGGTTAATATAAAGGTGTAATATAAAGGCAGTGATTGGAGGCTTTGGTCAAACAGCTGAAAATAAAGTAGAATTATTTATTTTCTTGTGATTGTTTTACAGGTTGAAAATTGGTGTCCTCGTTTACCTTGGAGAGCAAAAAATCCTAATGAAGAAACTGATCAAAAAACAATGGTAAGAACAGCCTTGTCCTTAACTGGGCCAAACATGAGAAATAATTCAGCAATTTTGATTCATGCAAAACATCATGGAATCCTGTGCCACGTAAATCCTAATAAGATTAGAATTTGCTATTTTTATTCCTCAATTCTTCAAATCTGAAAAGAATCCTCCTTGACACATGTAGCTCATGTATCCAATCATTGTATTGTGTGCTTGGTGGTAAATTTTCATTAAAAACATTTTCATGTCTAAATTTATGAAATATTCTGCACTGATACTGAGAAAAATTACAAATCCGCAGACTGCTCACCAGTGTTAAGTATATGCATAAATGTCCATTTTTATTGTCCCAAAAATCTGGGCCTTATTTACAAAACTGCCTTAATAGAAAAGGCTTGTATCCATTTCAGGTTTGTAGTAACATTTTGATTACTCCTAATTTTTTCCCTTTAAAAAGTGTGCAACACACAGAGTTGTWTCTAAATTGTTACAGCCTAATTATGTAGCACTTGGGTAAATTTAAGATAATTGCTKAGCTGTATATGAACACGGCTTACATAATACAGATATAGGCTGTCTCATTTTGTAAAAACCAATTGATCTTGGAACAGTCTAGCTTCAAAAMGAGTATTTCCTATAAAATTTATACCCTGGTAGTGTTTCTTCCTTTCTGGTATAATAGGAGACCTCCTTGTATTTAGAAGATTCATGATATACATAAATCTTGAGCCTACTGTTCTGTATCTTAACCTCATTTTGAAACACAAGAACAAAACCAGATCTTTCATTGCCAGCTAGTTTCATTGMAGGAATAAATGCATTGTGAAACAGTGCAAATATATTCTAGGCTACCAAGCACTACTAATAAAAATAACAGTAATTCATGTCACTTAGAAGTGTCTGTTTAAGTGTGTSTTTAATATTTGAACCAAAATCTTGACTTGTGCTTGGAGTGTGTCTTTATTTCTATTTCTTTTCTTTTTTTTTTAAGAAGAATATAAAGCACAGAATTCACATTTGAGCAGTTTTTTYACTTCTAGAAAGTGTGCTGAGGAATAACTAATGTTTGGGTTTGTTTKKKKTTTTTTTAATGCTTTGCTTGAAGGCTGAAATCCGTATCAACTTTGATAATCTCTACAAAATGATGTCGAGGCACGAGGAGTTCAGGTGGATGATGTTGCGCATCAGGCGAATGGCTGATACCTGGATTGAAGCCATTAAATCACTTGCAGAAAAASAAAATTTGGAGAAAAGAAAGCGGAAAAAGGTAAATGAGAACATTTTTATTCCTGTCACACGCAGTTATATCGGCTCTTTTGAGATTTTTGTTTCAGATGTAGCTTCAGAGTAGAAATAGCATATATGTCTAAAAAGGCTCATATTTTTACTCTTTTCAAGAAGTACTTTGGTGTTTTTTATGGTGCAATGGGGGTTTGCTTCACAGAGTTTTACATTTTTTGCATGAGTCAATCTTGGAGTAAGTTTTCTGACCTCTAGTTTTGGATAAAGCAGAAGTTTCTAAAGGGAGAAACTGTGAATTTACTGCAAGCTGATGACATTGRAGTGTTTTATGAAGTCATAGGAAAAAACAATTTTCCATCTTTGTTGTCCAAAAGTGAGATTTGAAATGGGGTACCTCAGGTTTGAACTTGCATAGACTTAAAGTTGACAACAACTTTGGACAAAATCAGTTTAGACCTCCCGTAGTGAGTTCAATTTTAAAGCTATGAGATACTGAAAGTGAAAAGATCTAGGTAATTAGATTTAATTTGTTTCTTAATTACCTCAACTAGTTAAGATAAAGCAAAAACTTGTAAACACAACTACATTTCCTTTCCTTGTTCTTTCTGGAGCCAGTCCTGGGTGGCAGCAGCCCCATGCATGTTTATATTTCAACCCTCTCTTAAACCTGGCCAGCTCAGCTCCTTGCTGGAGATTCTCAGTCCTTGTATTCATTAGAAAATTAAATTATTTGGGTGGAAGTACTGGATTGTCTTCATTGATTTTTTTTTTTTTCCCTTTGGCCATAGTTGGAATTTGATCAAAAGAAAAGCTTCTGTAAGGTATAATAATTGCATGTTTAATGTCGATAATACAAACATATGATTTTCCTTTCCAGGTCCTTGTTCATTTGGGGCTTTTGACAAAAGAATCTGGATTCAAGATTGCAGAAAATGCGTTTAGCGGTGGCCCACTTGGTGAATTAGTCCAGTGGAGTGATTTAATTACATCTCTGTACTTACTGGGCCATGACATCAGGATTTCAGCTTCACTGGCAGAGCTCAAGGAGTAAGGAGATTACTTTCGCTTTTGAAACTGGAATTAAAAGAAAAGAATTGTAAACTCTTGAAGCTTCTATTAACAGTATATAATTTCTTGAAGCATAAAATGCAAGTGATAATTCACTAAACAGACGATAAGWTTATTTTCATGAGCTAAGTATATGTGCCATGGAAAGGATAATGTGTTTTCATTGTAGCTGCAGGCTCCTGGGACTTTATAAATGAATGTTGTAAAATTCAGACTAAGCAGCTTAGTCTCTAAAATTCCAGGTGCTTTAACCAGCTGCAATGGGAAATGTTACAGACTAGCCTAATTCTGTGTCCTCTGCATCACTTTCTGCTGTTCTTCACCCAGTATCTCATTTGAAAATAAAGGTTTAAGTTCTTTAAACATGTTATTTGTGATGGAGTTAATTGCTTGTGTTAGGTCAAATTGCTCCTCACTCTTGGTTGTCCTGCTTTGCCAGCTAGTTCAGCACCAGACATAAAACATCTGTTTGAAGCTTGAACACGTGTACTTTTTTCCTGCAGCTTTCTTTTTTTAATTACTAACATGACAGCATTGTTTTATAGAGAGCTCTTRTGCTATAAAGCTGTCAATAGAAGCCAGAAATTATTTTGAATAATTTCAAAGCACACTGTTTTTAAGCATTTCAGACATGTTATTCTCTTGCTTAAACTAGATGAGATTTTTAGCAAAAATTAGTGKTTACTGAGGTATAAATATTTCTTTAATAAATGTTGAGCATCTCTAGCATTTCAGTGTTCTTCTATGGTTTGTGATTCTGAAACAGAGTAAAACTACTTTTGAAACTGGAATTATTGGTATAAATAGTATTTATTTGGATACAGAATCAGTTCAAGGTATTTGGAAAGTAATGTGTTTTCATATTCTCTCTTTTTTTGTTTAGAATTATGAAGAAGGTTGTAGGGAACAGATCTGGCTGCCCAACCCAGGGGGATAAAATTGTAGAACTCATCTACATTGATATTGTGGGACTGACTCAGTTTAAGAAAACCCTTGGTCCATCATGGGTTCATTACCAGTAAGTATAATACTCACTTGCCCTCTACACTGTTTTATTAAAGAGCTTTTATTGAATACCACTTGTCAGAATACTGAGGTGAGTCCATTCACATGAACTTGAATTTATTTAAAAGTGAAAARATGTCTCTCTGTTGTCTTTAACTCCTTGGAATGAAGGGGCTATTACTTGTTCTTTGCATGCCATCATTATCCCTCCCAGCATGCTTGAGATTCTTGTATTTCAGCATTTTTAATCTTAAAAATCTTAATTATCTTGTTGATAAACCATCCTCTTTTTTCTCTCTTTTCCTTACCCACACTTCCCTTCCCCATTTTTTTCTGTAAATAAGTAGGTGAGCTGAGAGATTATTGCATTTTGTTGTCTAGTTGGAATACCAGGGGCTTGTTTTGTTTGTTTGTAACCACACTGGATCAATGATTGTGGAGATTTATCTGTTCTAATGGTATTGCCCAACAACTGCAGTGCAATTTTCTGTTCCATTCYTTAAGATACAGGGCAGAGAGTTGTCTTCAGGGGCAGATCTGAGGAATAAACTGCAGCTATTGTTGCTTTTGTAAACTGTAGACATCTTCCCATTTCTGAGAAATGGAAGATGAGGGTCACAAGAAATGAATTTGTGCACCTCTCTTAATGTTTGCAGTTTTAAAACCTCTTTTCGTCTATAACTTTAAATCATTAAGCCTCCCATGTGTTGTACAAATACATACCAGCATGAAATAACATCAAATCTAAATTACTGACTTTGATTTCTCTGTATCTAATCGAATTAACTGTGTGTCATGATCCAGAAAGTCCAGTAAATCCTGCTTAAAGGAAGGTGTTGGGAAGTGCATGGCAGGCAGAGAAACTGATTTCTTTCAKCCTCAGGGTTTTCTAGAGCACTGGATCTTTCCAGTGTAATTTTAAATGGAGAGTACTGGGTTCAACATTGCAGATTAGATTACTCTTAATCTTTTTTTGAAGCAGGGGACTAAATGGATATTCTAGTTTTTAGGAGCCTGCTAATAAAGATAATCCCATTTTCCACTGAGCAACAGTTGCTTGTCTGTCTGCCAGATGTAATTGTCACCAGATCACATCCAGAGCTGTGGTCAGGATATGAAACCCTTCTTATAAATTTTAAATGTYTCTTCCCGTTTACTTTCAATTTCCTGTCTGGTATATCCTGTAACAAAGGTATGGAAATACATTATGATATTGAGATTATAGATTAGCTATTCAGTTTTTCTTTCTTCATGGAATCATTAAGTCTTGAATTACCAGTCTGCTTTTCACCTATTACTATTTTGTAGTATTGGCTGATGTTTTCTGGTTTAGGAGAATTAAATTTAACTCTAAATACCTTGGGTAGTGTAGAAWTTTTTTTAAGCTTTCGAGGGAGAAAAAATATTTTAATGTTCATCTTCTATAACATTGGATTTCATGGACTGAAAGGGAATCTCCTCTAGTCCTTATCCTGACTGAAAAAAAGATAAGAGTGCATTTGTCTTTTATGAGAGATCTTTGCCTAATCTTTTACTGAAGACTGAACAAGATGCCCAAGCATGTTGTTTTGTATAGTTAAGCATTTCTTTAAAGTGTTTTTCTTGGCCAGATTTCTTGCAAACTGCCCATTACTGCTTATTCTAATAAGGTTCTGGAGGATAAATTACTCCCTTCTCTTCTCTGCCAGCCTTCAATTTGCTTTTATAAAATACATAAATTTGGGGGGTTAAATCATTACTTACAATTCAAGTTTTGTACACCTTCCATCAGACTTGCTGAGTTTGTTGTGAATCTCTAATTCTGGACACATTTTCTCGAGTTCAGTGTACAAAACAGGGTCCAGAGTCCAGCAGAGACACGGGATTGATTTGAGCAGGAGAATTAATTCATAGCCTCATGYGTGCTGTCTCCTGTTTCAGGATCCTCTTCCAATCATTGTTTYTTCTCTCAGCATCATGAGTGACCTCATAAATTTTGCCCTCAAAATGTTTTGAAGTTTAAACCATTGAGTGTGTTATAACAGCATAGGCATGTGTTCCTGTTTAATTCCAATAAAATAAACATTATCACAAATAAATCTGCTTTTAGTCCTGGCTCTTTACAAACTTTGCTTTTTATTTCTTTCAGTTGTATTTAGTGCCAGTAGGAGTGATTGTTTGTCTTGAAAGAAGTGTTTTTYAGCAGACATGTTCAGGTCAGCTCAGTCTGGTTTATACAGACCAGACTCGGATACAAACGAATTAAAACCTTTTTACTCACTTCAGCTCAGAATAGAGTGTCTGAATAAGCCTCTRCCTTCAGAAGAGTCTCTTGGTAAGAGTGCTTTATATAATCTTTCTGGGTGAACTTGAGCCCTGAGGAAATTTTTGGTTGCTGCAAATCAGGTTTCTGGAACTGCGAGCTCGAAAGAATGACCCTGCTGCTYTGAGAGTGAGGATTTCTGAAAGACTCTTCTGTGCAGCTCGGAGCTGCAGCGCCAGGGACTTTTGGTGGTACCTCCTTTATCTGTGGAATAATTGCTGCTGTAAATAAAACACAGCAAAACACATCTCATTTTGGAGTGCACCTTGTTTCCAAGCAGGACAATGCTGGATTTTTCAGTTCAGAAGTCTGGATGTGTTGAAATCCACTTGTGTGCARTGAATCAACACACAAATTAATAGCTTAATATAGTTTGAGAAGTGCAGCCTTTCTTAGCACCCTCATCCTCCATGCAGCACATAAGAATCTGGTGTTTTTTCATTTTTCCCCAGTCTCTCTAGCAATGACTCATTCCCATATGCCAAAAATCCAACTGGCTTTTTTTTCTTGAAATAAATTAACATGACAGCTATCCTGAAAAATGAGCAACGCTCCTGCTTCGTATGTGTTCTCTCGAATACATCTGTTTTAGGAGGGTTATTTTCTGTCCTAAGATTTAAAATCAAGTACTGAGTGGTGTGATGAAGTGGGAGAAGGATACAGAAAAGTGTATAAATACTTTCACTAGCTCAGACCTCTGAAGATTGTGTTTCTGCCCAATATTTATGGGGAAAAATGCTCCCTTTAAATAATCCTGGGCTACTTTTGCCTGAATTATTTTTCTTTTAAAGTCCTAAAATTGTCACTTCTAATGTGTTAGACAAAAAAAGACTAATTTGGATATTTCTAAAGCAGTTTGCTGCCCACCAGTCCTCTTTTTAATTAGGCAGAGAATAGACTTATCAGTCTGACACCAATTTCAGGGCATGCTGCAATTCTCTGCAGCTTCACTGCTAAAGCTAGGTGACATTTTAGGAAAGAAGAGWGGGAAAATCAAAATTAAAGGTATACCAAATTAGCATTTTTATTTAAAATATATTCCTGATATATTTTGTACCATTTTGTAATTTTCAAAATTAATTCTTTCACTTCAGAAATGCTAATGCATTGTATGCAAAAATAACAAAAAATTGAAAGGCATTTAAATCATTAAGTGAAACAAATGGAGAACATGGTGCTAGGGTAGACAATCAAGGCRTTCTTACACATATTAAAATATCAGTTCAGCATAACTGGTGTTAATTACATTAATTTATAATTTTTAAATCTTTGCCAGCTCTTTTCTGCTGTATTTCAGGGATTTGTTTCACTGCTTGAGGCTTTGATTTCTCATACCGTTTCTGCACAGACTTGCATCTACATCTTTTTTCTGGCTTACTTTATGCCGACTCATATGAATATGTTTTGTTTTCCTTCTTTCTGGTTCAGCTTTCTGTTGTATCACATTGCCTGATTCAGAGACCCTGTGTGCATTGGACATAGTTCCAAAATCCCTAAGAACCATCAGTGCTACTTTTYTTTCGTCTGAATACAGAAAAAGAGAGGCAACAAAGCAATGCAGTGCTCCTTACATATATCTCTTGACAAACTCCAGTAATGTTGCAGTTTTTCAGTAGCTTTCTCCCATTTTTCATTCTCCTGTACTCAGTACCTGGCCAAAAGCTGTATATTTGAGARGAATTTTGTTTTAAGACCTGCCAAGAAATAAGAGGGCTTTTATTACAGAATGATTCATCAGTGCAGAACTTGTTTTGGTCCTGCTGGAGTATTTTGTGTGATGCAGAGATAATTGCCACTGTTGTAAAATATTTTCATTGAGAACAGTTGACATAAAACACTGCACAGAAACTGATCTGTCAGCTTTGTTGTTTGGTGAATCATAATGTGTTGTATATTTTGTCTTTCKTTTTGTTTGAAAGATCTCTGTGAAGGTTTAAAAAAGCCACATCATTTTACTCAGTTTGTACTTTGAAATAGAAAGGTAGTATTTCACATAAGAATTTTAAAGTTGCTGGGCTTTTTTTTTCTATTTCCCATATTATTGAATAGTTTAGAGAAAGGARCAATGTATAAGTAATATGTAATATGATATGGTTAGAGTTCATGTGTTTATAACACAATTGCTCATGATGTATAATTTCCTGTAYAAGTCTTTCCTGAAATTTTAGTTGTGGAGGGCTGAAGAATGGTGGGGTCAGCAGCTCTGGAGCCCTATAATCAGCCCTAAACTCCAGTTCAGGATTTTCTGTAAAAGCTGAGTGTGATTTCTCATCCCAGGCCCTTTGTAATCCAATGCCAGGGTTTCTCTCTGTTGTGAGCTGGTGGATGCAGGTAACTGACCTTTAAATTGTTTCTTCAAAAGTCTGTGACAAAATGTTTCATAAACAAATAAATTATCTGACTGCAAGAACTCAGCAAATTAAACCATCCTCAGTGCTTTCCCAGTAGGTCTGAAAGTCAGAACCTGGAGATCAAATACAATTGTCTAAAGACAATGACCTGTTCTGCTCTGATCTTCTTGGCATGTGGCCCCTGGCTGCTGTGTCTGGTTTTGTGGTAATGGTTGAGAACTTTAGAAATCAGATGGAAAATCCTCTCTTCTTCTGCYTGAATTCTACTTCAGAGCCCTAGGAAATGCAGGTGACCGCTGTAGCATTCCCACAAGCTCTACTTGGATTTTAAAGCATAACTGCATTCTGTAAGGACAAAGAAACTCAAAATAAGCTCCAGGGTTGTTATTTGAATATCTGATGTATCCTTGAATTTGCTGTTTGTAGTGTCTTTGTGAATATAGTATGAACAGAAATGTTTGAAATTAAAATGTACCTTCAGTTTATATGTCCTCCACAGCTGCAAAGACAAAACACAATTATCACAACTATATATATATATATATATACACACACATACTTTTTATATATTCACGTATCTGTGTACCTACAGTAAATTCATTTTTCTCTTTTAGGTGTATGCTAAGAGTTCTGGATTCCTTTGGGACTGAGCCAGAGTTCAACCATGCCCATTATGCCCAGTCTAAAGGCCACAAGACACCATGGGGAAAGTGGAACCTTAATCCACAGCAGTTTTATACAATGTTCCGTAAGTACCTCTGTGCTCATAAATAATTTAGAGCTTTCAAAAGGAATGCAGTCATTGAGAAGAATTTTTTTTTTAGTATGAAAGGCAAATTCATGGTTTAATAAAATGCAACTGATAAATAGGAAGAATTGTGTCAGTGTCTGTAGATCGTGCAAAACATCTATTGTGCTTCCATCCAGCAATGAGAAAATAAAAATGTTGAGCTCATAGTGGTAAGGGGCTTAGTTCTCCAGGTACCAGACAAAGCAGTGCTTGGCTTTTCCCTCAAGTATTAGTAAGTTTGCTTTTGATAATTTTGCTTTTTCTAATCTTTCTATGAAGTGATACATTTTTGAAGAGCTTGCTAGATTATATTTTTATAAACTGCACTCTTATATTTCATCGTGTTAAACTGAAGTTTGGAACTATGTTAGCTCCAGTGTTGTATTTCTGTTTTTGTCCCTCCACAGCTCAGCAGCAGCATCCCTTCACTATTTATTCACATTCAGGATTAGTAAACAAACACTCAGCAAAGTTTTTTTGTCTGTACTTTTTTTATGGCTTTGCCGAAATTTTCACCTGGCTTGTTTTTATATTGTATTAATTTAACATTTATTTGCCAGCAGTGTGCAAGGCTATTGAAAATTAAGCAGTAGATTTCAGCATTGCTGTAGGTCTTTCAAGTATCAATAAATATCTTACGAAGTGACTTCAGCCAAACATAAAAAAGAAACAGAACAGACACCAAAAAACAYATAAATTCTCTATAAATTGGATCAGATTAAATGGGTAGTGTGACCTGCTCTACTCCTACTCTTTGACTTCATGGCAGTAGGTTCCAGAATCCCTCCAGGTTTTGGGGCTGGTCCCTGTTTGACATAAGGCCAGGGTGATGCTCTCTCTCATCAGCTTTCCTCRTCAATCTTTCCAATTTTCCTTCTCCCCACAGCAGAATTATACGTGCTGCTGTCGGCTTGACACGCTTTTGATTTCAGCTGCCCTGTCAAATTCTTGAGAGAGGCGTAKTTTGTCTGTCAACATTTGCTGTGCGAGTTTTTCCAGAGAAACATAAGTGAAGGTTGTTGAAGAGATAAAAGACTGCATTCACAGTTGTTGGGAAGGCAGTAACAAAACATGTGGTGGTGAAATGTGACTTGGAAGTGGTTGCAGAGTTTGTGTGTGAATATTAGTAAGCAGAGCTTGTTCTGTATCCCTGATTGCTAATATTTATTTATGTCCTGAATGGCAAAGGAACTTGGCTGTGCTGTGTTTAAGTAGTCCAGCTGTTGGGAAATGCAGATGTGAGGTGCTGTTCAGGATTGGCACCAAGGGTGAGGATGCTCTTATGGAAAAAGGCTGGGTGAGCCCTGGTGGTGCAGCTGTGTGCTCTGTGTGTGCACTGCTCACTCCCTCTCTGTGAAAAGCAGAAGAAAGTGAATCTTCTCTCTGGAGATCTCTTTTGGCAGTGCAGGCTGCTGGTACAGTTGTGCACAGAGAGAAGATCGCTCCATAATGAATTTTCAGAAGACTATTTTAATAAATAACCATTTCCAATTTCTACTGCTGGAAATCACTGCGGGATTTCCTCTGCAGGAAAAGTGGTAAATAGATTGCAGGCAAACTAATTTTGAAGCATGAGTGATTCCAGTGCTGTGGATTATTCAAGGATTTTACTTTTTTTTTTGGTGCTAGGTGCAGAAGAGTCAACATGTTTTGTGATATTTAAAGTTTATATTTTTTGTGTTGTTCTCTGCTGCAGAGATAGCACCATATCTGTGGGGCTGTGATTAAAAGTGCATATTATGCATCAGTAAAGATTTTATGGCAGATTGGAACCCTGGACAGCTTCCCAAGATCCCCAGACTCTATTATGTTTTGAGAACTCTGATTATAAGGGCAGAAAATTACTCCTGAGCAGCAAGCAAGCCATATTCAAACCTGTGGCATGTTACCAAGTGCTTGACTGTTCTCTGAGTTTTCCAGAAGCATGAGAGTTCTTCCCTCTTTTTATGTTTTTCGTGTTTTTAATTCAAATACTTTATAGGAAAATAACAGCACTGGTACTTTTGAAAGTGCATGATCTTGCTTAAAAATTCATCTGAGTGCTTCCTATCAGTGAYGTTTGAGGCACTGAATTCCACCAGTTTTAAGTGCTAACTTTAACAAAGGTTTATTTTTCTTTTGAGTGTGTACTGCCTTGCCTCTCCTTTGAATGCACCCTCTCATCCAAAAATATGAAAGGAAGGAAAAATGCCCCTTTTCAGACATATTTGCAATGTGCCGTTTGCTGTGTAAAATTCTARAAAGTCCTTGGGTCTAAGTGGGTGCCTGGCTGTTGCTGAGGCATTTTTTTGTGAAAAAGAGTAATTGTCATTTGAAAGACCAAATGTAATGGCAGAGGGACGTGTACACTGTGTATGGTTTCTCTGTTCTRCTGCATTATCCACTTGGCTGATTTTCAGGGACCAAAAAGTAAAAACCTCATAATTGCAATAGAATTTTTTTTTGTTAAATAACTCCACTAGAGGTTTAGCATTGCATGCATTGTAAATGCCTGGGGTGTTGTCTTTGGCTTTAGGGGGTTTTTGGTTTTGTTTTGGGTCCTTAAGCTTTTCAAAATGTGATTCATAATTGCCAGCTTGTGTGCCAGAATTTAACAGGAGGCATAGAGAGGAGATCCTACTGTTTATTGCAGGCTCTTTCTATGGGCTGTTGTGAGGCTGTGGCACCATTTAGAGGAAAAACCCCACCTATCCTTTGCATACACTTTTTTTTTTTTTTGCCTGGGCATTGCATTAAAAAGAGTTTTGCCAACTTTACTTGCCATCTTTAAATATTTTATGATCACTATGTCTGAGTGAATTGGGCAATGTCATTTGCATTCTGCTTTGCAGAGTGTGACTTTGTAGGCCAATAATTAGTAATGGATACAAAATACACAGTGAGTTGGGTGGCTGGTGTTGGTAATTCCAATATAGGAGTTGAGCCCAATAAATTGGCTAAAAGATTATTTATTATTGAGCCACATCTGGCTTTGATAACAAGCATAAATCCAGGGGGTTTTCAAACTGTTGGTATTGCATCTGTGAGATTTGTCAAGCTGGATTTCTTCTGTTTCTTTTATCTCTAACAGTAAAATAAAGCTCAGCAGCACACAGACAAAAAAAAAATCATTACCGTTGGATTCAGTCCAGCTACAGAGTTTTTATTATCAGGAAAATAAGCCAGAAAATAGCTGCTTACTTGAGTAGGCATATGGAGCAGGATTTAAAATTAATAAAAACTATTTTGGATAATAAAGCAAGCAAATGTGTCTTTCAGTATKAATAAGAAGGAGGTGATCTGTTGCATAGTATGTTCCTCATAACTTCTTTTCTGACAACATTGCCTCTAATGTAACATTAACTGKTGCTTTCAAAGGTGCTGAATCTGCTGTGTTTCTTACAGCTCACACTCCAGATAACAGCTTCCTTGGATTTGTGGTAGAGCAGCATCTGAATTCCAGTGACATTAAACACATCAATGACATCAAAAGGCAGAATCAATCCCTCGTTTATGGCAAAGTAGATAATTTCTGGAAGGTGAGTTTTTTATACTCATATGCTTGAGCAAATTTATGTTGATCGATATAATAAAACATTATTCTAAATTTAAAAATATCCCATCTGTCTAAACCCATTAAGTTCTTTTTCTGGAAATAAACATGTTTGAATAATTAAATTGAACATTTTTAAGTCTTTCTGTTAGGGAGATGTCTGTGTAGATTGATATGGATTCTTTGCTATTTCTGTACACCTTTCTGACAGAATAAAAGATACTGTTTTAATGTCACAATAATTTTGGAAAATGCAGAAGGCTGGTAAACATGATGGAAAATTGAAGGTGTGAACTTTCATCAGTCATAAGCAAACCTGTCTTTCAATTACTTCTGTTCTTATATCTACAGCCAAAAATGTGCTGCGTTTTGAGATGGAAATTCTGTTCACTGAAGGCTCTAGAAGTGTGCAATCTCATTTTATCTCCCTGTAATAATATCACAGCTTTGTTTCTTTAATATTGCCATTATTGTTTTCTCTCATCTGCAGATGAGAGCAGCAGAATAACAACACCAAGGTTTGGTGATACTTTCACTAAGTTAAAGTATTTGTTATTAAGTCTTAGTGGTCTCTTGGTTTTTCACCCCCTGTCCTTTTCTGTGGCTCCTTCTTCCAGGCTGRCACACCTGGGAATGTGTCTCTCATGCAGTTTTCAAAGAGATTATTTCCTAGTAACTGCATTTCTGCCAGGTTACCTCCAGCTCTGTGTGTCCAAATGCTCTGCATGCCCATATCCTCTGTGTGCCTTCCCTCCTGCCTAAAAAGACCTTATTTTTAAGCCTCTTGTCAACTGAAAAAAGGACTTACCAGTGCCATTCATAGGACCAAATAATATAACAGTGCAAGAGCACCTGGGTCTCACATTTTCATTCCTTTTCTCTTTATTGGCATGASAATATTRGTCTTSCACAGTTTTTTGAACCACAGAAGCMACATTCATTTTGATGACTCAGATTATACAGAATAAATTCTTTAGAGATGATAGCYACAAGTAAATGGTCCATCTGTGAGACAAAACAAAACTAAAGCTTAATAGAAGCAGTAGAATGTTGGCAGTGGTAGCAGAACAGGTAGAGCTGAATGCTTCTAGGCTGCTGTGCTGTGAAAAAATGTGCAGTAAAAGATGTGAATTTTATTCTGTTTGGCTTATGCTATAGAATGATTTAGTGTGCCCCTGTCTGCAGAGTGCTGGAGCAGAGCTGGGATMCTTTCTTTRAGTCTTYYTGAGCTTAGGCTCTTGTGCTTTTGCTTGTGACTTTACTTGTACTTTGACTTATGACCRATCTCATTATCAGTCTCTCAGGAGYAGCTGCATGCAGCAATCACCCAAACTKCCTGACCTGGCTTGCAGTGCACATCAGCAGAAGGATTTGCTGAGTACTAGTTGGATTTAAGGAACAAGACAGCTCCTTTGTGACAGGGTTTTTTTTTTTTCACTGACATATAGATCTTTCTCAGTTTATCCAGTCTGCATGGATTCAGTAATTATATCAATTCAAAAATTGATTGTTTATGTGCCCAGAGGGGAGRTTTGTGATTGGTCTCAAGTTCTATATGACCCACAGGATTTTCRTGGAGTGATTGAGACAAAAACATGGCTTTTTGGAAAAGAACATCCAGTCTTGATTTTTAMATAGCACACAATGGAAAGCCCACTGTTTCCTCTGGTGAAGTCCTCCAATAATTGCCTTCTCCCTTAAGACTTTGCATGATTTCTGGTACAGATTTCCCTATGGTAGTTTCCAGTCTAAGTAGCAGTTATGGATTTTCTCTACCAGACTGATGCTGTTCTGTTCTGTTTCCCTGTAGGAGTATATAAGTTGAGGTCACAGTCATCCATGGTTATCTCCTGAAAAGCCTGTATAYGCTGACCCCTGAGAGCTTTGTGCTTTCTAATCCTTAAGTGTTCTCACATGTCTCTCAATTTTCTCAAGATTATTCACATTCCTCCTGAAATGTGAATATTAGCAAAGGCCACGTGGGCCATTCCAGCCCCAAATCCAGAAGGAAATACTGTGTGCATTGTTGGACAGGTCCCCTTCTCACTATCAGGAATTCTCATCCAAGACCTCTCTATCATTTTTTAAAGGGCTGCTTTTCAAGTCACTGCTGTGTTTCTATCAGTATTGCCTGTCTTGTTTTTCCCTAGATGTTTGATTTGGTATCTGGCCACATTAAAATGTGTACTGTGTGCTGGTAACATCAAGCACATTAAAACTGTAACTGGCAGATTGTAACTGCAGTCATGCCCATATGCACTCCTATGTAAAGTGCAAATCGACTTTGAATCAGTTACAGTGTGGGATTTCTTATCTGGAGTGATAAAATCCAATTCCTGTGATCAAGAGAAAGCCTGAACTAATCTTGTGTCTGTGTAATTTGCTTATTTCACGTTTCTTTCATTTTCCCTGTTCARTGCTCTTTTCATCTGCCACCACGGCTTGTACGGAACCAGATTAATCTATTTACCCTGCTCCTGTTCTTTCTACTGAACAYGGCCAATTAATGAGAAGTGTAATCTGCACAGAGTACACGTGTCACTGCTGGGGCTGATCACTCATTAGAGGAGCACAGCATGGAGGGGAGAGCATCCCAGTCCCCAGGCTGTGGTGCTTTTGGGGAGCAGCAGCTGCCAATCAATTGTTCAATTTTAACCAAGCAGGCTGAAGTGGGATTGAAGCATGCACAGGTCCTCTTCTCCCTGGGATTATATAAACCACTATGGGTTTATACAGCCATGGAAATGGGTCTTTTCTTTGCCTGAACCCAGAGACATCCATCCCATATTTCAGTGGCCAATTCTGGGTGCACCTCTTGAGGTCAGGAGGGATGTGCTGCACAGGGGGTCAGATAAATCTGTTTTATTTCCCTCTGATAACTAAATCTGTCCTAGGTGTGTTGAGGATTGCAAACAGGAGGCTCTAAAGAATTTTGCCAGTTTCTAAAGGTTATCTTTAGAGGGAAGCTATGAGGAGCAACATTTGCCAAGTTTTGGAGAAGTTTGTGTTGTARTAAAAGGTTTGGGGTTTTGTGTGGGATTTTTGGCAGTGCTGAGGASTAAAGAGAGTCCTGTCTATGCCAAAGTGGGGCGAGGGGTAAGGAATTAATAAAATGCGTATGAAACCCATAATGTTTGCCATTATCAAAATTTGCTTTAATTACAGAACATTTCAATTAAGAGAATGTTTGAAGCCTTTCATGTTGCCTTAGCTCCTGTTTCTAAGTMTTTTCTTTGTTCTTTCTGCAACTTACTGTCATACTATTCCACTAATTTGACCTTTAATCCTAGAAAGAAGAAAGAGTCAAGATTAATTTTGCAGTATTTCCTATTTTTTTTTTTTGTAAGGGGCTGTGAGAGAAGTCAGAAGGTTGCTTGTATCAGAAAATAGGCATCAGTGCCTAACRTAAGTTTATGATGACTGCTTTAGTATTTTATTATAGTCTGTTGAAGCTGTCTTGAAAATATTTGTATATTTAGAGGCAAAATAATGTGTGAGTTTCTTACTAATGCCACTTGACAAGCTGGGCATTCTTGTTAAATATTTACTGCCTGCCTGGCAGCTTTTGAAGARCTGCAGATTGGAAATGGTTACCTTTGGTTGTTCTCAATGGGAAAGCACATCACYGAGGCTGTTCACTCTAATGTCTTCCCCTTACAGCTCCAGGGGACGTGTAATGAAATGTAATTTCCCCATCACATGCCCTCTTGCRTGAAGTGGGAGGAAAGTCCCTCCCTTCTGGTTGGTTTTTGTACTTTGTGTTTTGCGTTGTACTGTGAATGAGTACTTCATTTCAACTTTTAAGCTAAAAGAAAAATAAATAAGGAAAAATAAGGGACAAAAAGTTCCTTCTCACCTTTTCTCCCATGAGGTCAGTGCAGTCACAAACTTGTCTCTTGATAGTTCTGTTTTATGTTTTTCCAAATGGGCAGCAGCACAGGGGGGTTATGGGCTTATCAATCGATCAGAAGTTCCCCTAGAGCTGGCACCAGGCTCCAGGAGCACTGTCCTGCCTTATATCACATAACAAATTGAAAAGAGCCAGACACTTCAGKTCAGCATCGTTTCTAAATTCACCGTTTCCTTCTGAAAGCAGGATGGATCAGAAACAAGTCAATCAAAACAAKTGAGCAGTTGTAGGTGCAGTAAATAAACATGTATGCATATGTACACTTTTTAAAAGGCTTGTTCTTTAAGATTTATTATTAAAATTAGAATTTAATTTTTATAAAGAAAGAAAACTTCATTTGTCATAGATATTTGCCATTCAGACAGGTCAGTGATTATCTTCTCACTTTGCAGAGCTCTTCAGCTGCAAAATGAATTAGTGAGGTCTTACAGGACTGATTAAAATAATCATCMACAGTTATTTGGTTAGCACAAAACCAACATAACCTTTTCTTCCTGTGGTTCCATTTCCTGTTTTCATCTGTACCCCTTCACTTTTCTCCTTCAGCACTTAAAGTGCACAGGGATTGTTGGTTCTGGAATTTTCCATTCAAAGGACMGGAAATTGCTGCTTTGGTGTTCATTACATGACAAGGAAATGGACAGATCTTGGGAAAACCTTGGTGTTTAAAAAACCCCAAACCTTCATGGATGAAAAAGATGAGGATAGGGAACTGGAGAGGGTTTTTCAAGCTGTGACAGAAATCCTAAGTCTTCACTGAGACGTTTTATTCAGTCTTTGTGCAAAAATTATATATGTGCAAATGTGTGTTTTATTCAGAGGTACATGGTTCCTGAAAAAGAACCTTAAATGGACATTCAGGAAGAGAAGAGCATAGCAGTTATATAATATTTCCCTTGCAAATTCTCTCTTTTTCCAGCTTTTCTAATTCTGGATAATTCCTGAATCTGTTTCTCTGTTGATAAACTGTCTCTTCACACATTTTTGAGATCTCAGTAAGAGGTGATTTCAAAGTGTTTRTTTGTTCATGAACTTATGCAAACTTTATTTTTGCTTCTGCAACTTCCTSTGGCATG